ATGTCAAATAAAAGTGGGAAAAAGAAACAATGGTCACAATTTCAAATGAAAAATGGTATAAAATCTGCGAATTGTCTCAGACTTCTACAAATTCGCTAAAATGGAGGGAATTCAACCGGAAAATTTCAGAAGAAATATATGTGTTGGAGGCAATGTGGCGCTGCTGACGCCAACCATGGACATGTTTTCTGGAACTGCATTGAGATCAGACCTTTCTGGTCTTTTATCCACCTTCCTCTGTGCAAAGAACTGTTGTATTCTGTTCCATTTACTTTTACCACAATGAATCTGGGCCTTATGTCTAATGTGAAAAAAGATTATCAGTATTTGGTTAAGATATGACTGTCAGCAGAGGGAGGAAAGCCATAACAAGAAGATGGCTCAGACCTGAGCCATCCAACCATTCTCAGTGGAGGGACATTATGGAGGAAATATTCACTATGGAAAGAATGACTTTCATTTTAAGACAGAAAAAAAGCTCAATTCAAAGAAAAATGGGAAAAATGGATAACATAAATTAGCCTCGGAAACTGACTGACTTGTATCACGTCAACCGGTTGCTGTCTTTGGTTCGACTGTTCATTTTGTTTTGGTTTAGTACCTTGCTGATGCTCAGAGGGCTGACATCAGTTCATTGATTCTTTTAATGTCAAAAAAAATAAAGATAAAAGTGGGGGGAAAAAAATGGCCGCTCCCAGACTCTGTGATCACGATAAAAATTGTTTTTATTGATTCACGCTAAATTCATTAAATCACCACTAACGTATTAGTTTTAGGTATAAATAATGATCCATTGATTATTCCCTGCTGACCGGTTTTTTCCTTTAAAGGAGGAAGTCTGAATACTTTAGTCTTGCTAACAATAAAGTGGCTCAGAGGGAACAGAGGCAATTAAAATGAATGTTAGCATTAGCATTAGTGGACCTGGCTACCAGCTGCCTGACAATACGGAACAAAAGCAGATGAGCGTGAGGGCGCCACTTATAGGCCAGGAGGAGTTAAACTCATCATCGCCATTTCTCCTGATGTCTGCAGAGCAGCTTAGAACAAACCAATATACATCATGTTAGGGATGTCGCAGTAAAAGTATTTCATTTCCGATTAAATAACGACCTGTTGCCATATTAGCACGTATCATACTAGCTTTTATTCATTATTTAACAGAGCTACAGGTAGAAAAGGCTCCATCAACTAAAGTCGGGCATACACTGTACCTTTTTTTTTTTTTATTGTTGCACGCAGCTACAGCTCAAACTGTGCGATGAAACCTCAGGGTTTAAAAGTTCACAGCTCATGATGTTTGTTCTTACTCTGTGCGACCCGACGCTCTGATGCGATCTACCTGCTCACACTGTACGTCTAAAAACCATGACTGTCTCAGCTCTGCAGTGAGATGGCGCTACTCGGACTCATCTATCTGGAAGCCAAACCAGTAGAAGAGGAATATGAAGCTCATTAGTAGGGGTGTGGGAAATAATCGTTTTGGCGATATATCGTGATATTCGGCTG